CAATTAATTATCTTGAAGAACGATTATAATCTGCTAGAAATTTTCTTTTACTTAATATCGATCTAGTAACTGTACACAATTACAATGGTGGAATGGATCATATTGTCGAAATAAAGGCACACCAGCTTGGGGAGTAAATGCAAGTGATATATGCAATGCATCATATCAATGTGCGGATTACAATTTAGTTTCTTGTCCACTCAGCAAAACATGTGAATGTGCAACAACTAAATATTGGGTATGTTAATTGAGAATTTTTTGTTGAATTGTATTAAAACATAATGAAATACTTGTAGGATGGTACTACATGTATCGATCGAGTATTGTTTGGTAATGCTTGTACGTCGTGGCTTAACTATCCGGTAAACACGACAACATGTTTAAGTGCTGCTGGTGTTGGATTACTTTGTAATAGTTTAAGTTGCAGTGGAGGAGTATGTACGGGTGGCACTTGTTATTGTCCTAGTGGTACAAGTTGGAATGCAACATTTAGTATATGCTACAGCCCAAGCACTGGATAAAAATGATACTTCATAAAAATTTTCTAAATTTTTTTTTTTCTAATATTTTTGTTTTCGCTATTAAAATCATAGTAATGTAAAACCAAAATGAAATTCTGTCATGTAATTAAAGTGTACCAAATAACTTACTATAATTAGAAGAAATGTAGAACGTTCATGGTATTGTGCTATTCGTGAAAATGAAGACGTATAACTTATGATTTTATGATTCCAAAACAAAATATTTTTATTTATAATAAAAATCATCATGATTTTGATCGCTTCATATTTGTTTTATTTACAACATATGGAAAATTCTTATTTAGTCAATGGTTTCAGAAATTTATATTTTCAGCGTATTATTGATGTAAAATATGATTTATTATTTTTAACGATCTTTTAAACAATTTTTCCTTGTAAAAGTTCATAAAACTTCTTGCTTTTGTTTTCTTTTTCTAAAGATGTACGCCGCTCGTGCCAGCTGTCCACGTTCTAATGACAAATTTGACTAATTTCTAGGTAGTTGTTCCGGTTCTCTTCTTACTTGTCTGCTGAATGGCTGAACCATCGAAGAAAATTTGAAGTGCGATGACTGGCAGTCGTGCCTTGATCATACTAACTGTTATACATTATTGTTAGGAATTTTTAAAGAAGAATGTACGTCAAACACTAAAACTTTACGAGAAAGATATTTTTCTGAATTACGATTTATTTTATTATCCAATTTCATACTTATTTATTTGATTTATAAATTAAATCGTTATCAATATTGATCAAAAGTTAATGCGATAACAAATCAACTTAACTTAAAACTTAGTGGATTTCATTGTCATGAGCATAATATTTAAATTTACCTACAGAATAAGTTTAAAATAAATACCATATAAGTATATATACACCTAGTTACGTTTTGGTTACTAAAAATAATTTTTAATGATATTTTGATCTTTATGTAATTACTCTTAGAGAAGTGTTTATAGATGCAGCACCTTTTTTTGAAGGACTATTATATAGCAATAATTGTAAGTAAAAGAACTGCAAAAAAGCAATCTCAATTATTTTTAGACCCGACTGCACCACCAATCTAAAAGGCTTTTGAAGGTGTTCACTTTCCCCGTCATTCTTCGTTCCACTGTCACCTCGCCTTTAAATAATTCTGAAAGTCAAAAATAAAAGAAAAACATTGATATCATCTAATGCCCTCTAGTACACAGACATTTTGATTGGCTTAGACCATTCATCTCTTTTCTTTAAATTGATTGAATGAATGATTGTGATCACGATAAAAAAAAAAATATATCGACTTATTCACTCGCTGGTCAAAACAAGGAGACAAAGAAGGACAAACGACAGAAAAAAAGAAAAAACCAACTAATCATATTTTGAGTGCTCTAACATTGTATTCGATATATTTATTAATATCAATGAGTAGGATTCTTATTGAAATTTGAATTATATATCTTTTTTTTCAATTGTAGAGATATGATAATGAATAAAGAAAATTTATTGACATGCTTAGAAGATTTTAAACTTAACTGGTTACCTCAAAATATTTCAAATGATAATCCTTTACATCACTTAATAACAAATAAAATTAATGAACTGGAACAATTATTAATTCGTAAATATTAAAAATTCGGCTTTTTTTTTGGTAAAGAAAAAATTAAATTTTTTTAATTTTGTCAGCCATTGACAATAATCAAATTGAAAATGAACCATCAAATGCAAATAATTATCAACGTGGTCATTCAAGTGATACACAAGAATTTGTCTTTTTAACACAACATCAACAAGAACTATCCGAGAGTTGTTTATTGACACCCTCGAATAAAGATGATCAAATAGATGTTGATGATGAAAAAAAAGAAAATTCTTGTGGACCAATTATTCGAATAAAACGTATTTCATTAGCTGAAGCTGAACGTTTTTTGCCAGTAGCATGGAAAATTAATAGTAAAATAATGAAAGAATTGTTTTTTTAAATTAATTTTTTTTCTTTTTTTCTTTAAAAGCAAAACCAAAACGTGATGTCAAAAGAAAAAAAAAAAGATATTCAAAACTTTATTTCGGTGGAAGAAAATCTAAGAAAAATGCTCAAACAAATCAAATGCTTTTATCAGCAACAACACCCGATGAAAGTATGTATGACGATTAATTTATTTTTCTAGCCATAAGTTATTATACTGAATCAATGTCTCACAAAGTTTTAATAATAATTTGAGTTGTAGAAGAAAAATTTTATTCTCGATATGGTTATTATGTTGATTTTTGAAACAAAAAAAAAGACTCGTTAGTCATATTTTCACTTGATATAAAGTTTTTTTTTTTCGTTAACGTGTTTTGTAATCCGATACGAAGATTAATTGAGAAATTTCTTGTTTTTTCTTTTGTTTTCATTATCAAGTCAGTACTTTCAAGGTATTTTTTGATAAATGAAGATACTTTCAAGTTTTCTTTTCAATAAAGTAACTGTGAAGCCAGTATTTTGAAGAGATTTGCATATAAGAACAAGATGAAAAATAAAAGCCATATAATCATGTTTATTTAACTAGCCATATATTATAAAGGGTATTTGAAGAACATACTACCAAAGAAATTTGAATTCATGTGTATACAACGTTCTATTCTTATAGACTATGCCATAGACAAATTCTTTTTTTTAGAAGGCAAACATGTAGGACTAAGGTTTAAGTTTTTTTATCGGTAAAAAAAGAAGATGTATGGAGTATTTTTATAGTTCTTCAGTTAATTTTGAAGCGACAGTTTAGACGTCGTCTATAGATGAAGAACAAATACGGTTAGTTAAACATGATAGAAAGGTATCGATCAAAACTTCTGTTTCATTTAAAATAGTTGATAACTAAATTTATTAATAGAGCTGTTTAGCATGTAAAATATTCGGTAGAAAAAGCTTAACAGGATTGGTCTATATGGACCTATTTTTTTACTAGATTTTCGATTTTATTTAGATATTTATTGGAAAAATTTAATAACGGAATTTCAGACTAAAATTTTACTTATGTCTAATGATTTTTAGAATAGCTTGAAAGCTTCAACTGAAGTGATTGTTCCTTTTGTCGAAATATTGAATTTTCAAGCATTATTTATTTGTCAAGAGATGTCATAAAAATCCTTTGTAGATGAAATTTCTATATCTCAAAAAGAGAATATTTTTTTTCTAATGAAACTTTCAGGTTATTCTAAATGTCATTAAAACTACCTATGACAGAAATTTCAAATAAAAAATTCAGTAAGACGGTCATAATTTATCTCTGAATATTCACGGAGATGAACTCTACAACAGCTTGTTCGTCGAATAAAAGCTTAAACGACGGATTATAGTTAGTATTTCATTACATGAAGGCATTTAAAATGTCAACTAAAAGAATCATAGGAATGCACTCCGACGTACGATGCATAACTATCAAACGACGCAAACATCAGAATTTAATCTTGCGTTCTGCAAAAACAAAATACTAATATGTTGATTTTAGTTCAGTATTTAGCTTAAAATTTAAGATGTTAACATAACAGAAATTAAGAATAGAAATTGTTATTAATTTAATATTTTGAATCTTTTTGTTTTTGTATAGTACGAAACAAATCATTTTGACGATAAATGGTTAAATGAGCTTCTTGCCATCAAAACCTGTGAGCATTCAATCATGATTGTTTTCATAGAATACGTTTATCAGTTAGTCTATCTCTTAAATTAATTTTTAAATAAACTTTATATAAATCATTTAGCAAGCGCTCATCATAAACAGATGTGAAGAAAAATTCATTGTAATAATTGCAGTGCAATAGCTATTTAATCATTTGAGAACGATGAGACATCAGGTATCCTACCACTTGCTTTCTTCGTAGAGAAAAAAAAGGTTTTGTTTACATTAAACTGTTCGCTGTACAAGAACGTGTAGGTCATAGGTGACCCATATGTCATTTCTTGCTTCCTCTTTTTTTTTTCTTTCATTTAGTTGCTATTCAGATATTCTCTGCTCTTTATGTTATTGTACAGTAACGTCGAGATTTTTTTTTTCTTTTCTTCTGATCGATTGTTTTTCAAGAGTACGCTCACTGTCTATTTGGTTTATGCATATACATGTTTTTGTTCTCATTGACGAAATTATATTGTTCTTGATTTTGAGAAAAATTTATCGTTCTTTTTTCATTAAGAACTAAAGTTATGCAGCAATGCTAAGATAAAAGGAGTGAAAATAGTCATAATATAAACACTCAAATTTTTATATTCTAGAGTATTCAATGAATCTTATTTATTTTTTCATTCAGAGGGCAATAAAACTATGTGTACTTTTCATTTCGTTATGTTTTTGTGTATGATTAGAACGAATTAAATGGAATTCTAAGGAAATAAAGAAGTCAATGATGAGTTCTTTGATTTATATACTACTGACGATAGTAATGAGAGAAAAGTTCGATGGGCTCTAAACCGGAATGGTTTCGATTTCAATTATAATCAATTAGTAGATGAGTTGAGAGTTTCTAATGTTTAAAAGATAATGAAGCTCTTTTTTTATTATCAGAAGATTTTTTGTGATTTTAATAATGCTGAATATACTTTGGTCAATGGTTGACATTTTAGTTTAAAAATAAAAAATATTCTAGCTCTTCAGAGGTCTTACAAAATCCTAGACTGAAAAAAATGGTTAGGTTTCTGTCATGATAGGTGAAAATATATAATTCCAAAGAAATTAGAAAACCTTATGGAATAAATCGTGCAGCACTTGCTCTATCGTTCTATATGAAAAAAAATTTTCTAGTAGTTTTTTGAAAAAGTATACACATGGGCGGGCCGGCATAGGGGCGAGAGGGGGCAATTGCCCCCCCTGAAAATTATGGTCCGGCCCGCCAATGAGTATACATGTTCTGTCAACTAAGGGTTTTTCTAAAAGGACATGTTCAGTGCAGACGGCGCGCACATTTTAGCACAGCTCGACACACGATGAAACTTTCACAGAATATTTTTTCTCTGTCTGACACATCTATTCACTTAATCTAAATGCTTTTGAACTGTCATACAGGTTTTCTGCATTCTTTTATCTCATAAATATTTTAAGAGAAAAATGAATACACATTTGGAATTATCACGAAAAAATAACGACATCAAATGATGTGTCATTTGCTAATTTTTAAAAGGAAATTTTTCGATAAAACTTTAGGATTAGGAATTCGTCATGCATTTTTCTATGTATTGAAAAAAACAGTAGTACCGATTATGAGAGTCGGACAAAGAGCTATTATACAACTAAAATTCTATTGTTGTAAGTGCAACTTCTTCACCTTCACTAGATATAAATGATCTATAGTCGCCAGTTATTCTCTTGTAATTCAACATCGTACGGGTAATCTTGGTAAACGATATTATGACGGTAATATAAATGCTATGGGATACTTATATGCTTTATTATTTACAATTGCTACACGAAAAATAAATATGACATTTTTATAATTTTTTTCTTTTTTTTTTTTTATCTGTGTTAGAATCTTAATAGTATTCCATACAATAAATAACGTGTTTCGAGAGAGTCAGAATTTTCTAAAGGGCGTTTCGACCATTGCCTATACTAGAGTTTATCAGGCTCGAAATTTTGTGAACTCGGTAGGCTCTAGTTTCCATATCGAGAATTTTTTTTGTTATAAATTTCATTTTTTTTCCATCAGTCTTTTTGTTGAGTATGGCAAATTAATATTTCTATGACAAAAAATAAGCCATGTTTACTCTGCGTCCAATGAATATTTCCGCACTTTACATGACTAATGTCAAAAGATATGTTCTTATGATAGTTCTGGTGTTTGATATTATTAATGTGGAAAATGAAAACGTAAACGATCAGCTATGAAAAACGAGCATGATACTATTAGTCATTTCATTAGATATAATGAAAATGCAGGTGTAGATGTGAGCCAGTGCGTTCTTTTCAATTTCGCCTGCCTAAACGCACATTTATACTCCCAAAAGAAAAATACATGTGAAAGATACACATAATTCAAATTAATTCGTTCATTAAGGTCTTCTCATTTTTCAACTTAACTCTTCGTAAAGACCCTTTTTTTGTCTATGAATGTAAATTTTTCGTATCATCAACTAAATAATAGTTTGTTTTGTTTGAATAAATGGTCATTTATTTATCTTTTAACTAAAGTTGGATTTATCATTTTCCGCTCATCCTATTTTAACTTGTTTTTCAATTTATTATTTTTAATTATTTTTTCTTTAGCTCCGAATGGTTCAAACAGTAAACGAAAATCAATTCGATCAAAAAAAGTTATTGAACATCCATCAACATCGTCTGTTGCCAGTACACAATCAGTTAATGGTAATAAAAAGAGTACTAAACGAAAATTACGTGCACTCGATGCTGAAGATGATGATCTGTATACATTGGGAAATTTATCTCAAATAGATAATTTAAATAGTGATACTAATTGTGAACAAATACCACGTTATATTGGACAAAATGGTATATTATCTCAAACACGTAAACTTAATGAAACATCAATTAATGTTGAAGATGATTTTACAATAAAATTAAGATCAAAAAAATCAAATCAAAAATTAAAAACAAAATTATCTAATGATTCTAAAATAAGTGAATCATCTATAGGTGATTCATTAACTATTATTGAAGATGTTGGTAGAATACATCAAGAATTCTTAAAAGATATGTCTGAAAAAGATCAAGAATCATTATTTGATTCACTTAATATAACAAATGATAGAACATTTGAAACAAGTTCATCATTAAATAGAACTTCACTTATTAATTATAATGATTGTATTGAAGATATATCAAATGATGGCATTGATCCTCCTCCTCCTCCTCCTCCTCCTCCTCCTGAACCATTATCATCAACTAATATGTCTTATCTTTCTTTAACAACATAATATTGGAAACGAAAAAGCACAGTTATATGTCCACTTTTTTTTACTAAGTGACAATTTTTTTTTTCCTATTTTTTGTTTTATCAAAACCATTTGTTTGTTTTATCTTGCATATAACCTTGCTTACTGCATTTGTTCTCTGTAGTATATATTTCTGTTCATTATTCAATGGGCTTTCAGTTTGCTTGTTTTTTTTTTCATAACAAATATAAATATTCAAATGAATATTTATGTCATGTTTATTGAAAAGAAATCAAAAGCCAGAAAACAAAAAAAAGTTATTTCCTTTTGTTCGTTTCTTGTTGTTCTTTTTGTTTTTTTTTTCTGAATATGTATAATAATTGAAATAATAAAAATTCATTTATTGAAATACAATTAACTTTTATGTAATATGTTGAACGATATGTTTATTTGTTTTTTTTTTTAATAATTGTAGGCCATTAAAATTTATCGTCAGATTAATTAAATCAATGTCTTTGAATCAATCAAAACGTTCAATACATTCATCATCAAATTCTGATACATCGCCTTTAAAAAAGAAAACTAAAATAGCATTAAAACGAAACATTAGACATTCATCGTCATCATCATCAAGTGATGATTTGGATATTCCAGTGGTACGATTTTATTTTTTGTAGTTTTCTTTTATATGAATACAGAAAATTGAATATTATTTTTAAGACATGGAAAATAAGAACATAAATCTAATTACTGAACTGCCGATATGTGGCAAGTAAAGATGTGCAGGACCAATTATAGTCTCGGAACTCTGGAGCAGAACCACCGAAAAGAAAAATTGTCGGGACTGGAACTACGAGAAAATAGTTATCCCAATCGAAACTAAAGATTATTGTTAAATATTTTATGATTTTGAGCGAATGATATCAATCAGAATATAATTCAGGAGAAATGATCCAAAAAAGTGCTAGTCATCTACTCAATAAATCATAAAATGAGTATTGAAAAGTATTTTTAGATATGATACGAGTAAATTCTGAAATACTTTTCTCTAGACCGAGACCAGAACCAAGAAACTTGATCTCACATATCTCTAGTCACAAGACATACATAAAGAAATTGAATTACAGAATTTCGCCCATAGATATATCTTATCATTAATAGGAAGCTCTGACAGTTGCAACCTGAAAAATTATTTGCTCTTCAAATTTTCTACCTATTCCATGTGATAAATGTTTGTTTTATTAGATATCATATATTTCGAGATCAGAATATTCTAATTAATTAAGTTTCTTCATATGTGCGTCTGGCAATAGATCGAAAATAACGAGTTAGAATAAGCTTGCACATATCATAATGAAAAACTTTCTTTTCAAATGAGACGATATTCATTTCAATGAGTAACTGAAGTTTACAATGGTTTAGTTTTTCAGGCTTTCATTCTTAAGATATTGAAAAAAAAAAGATTATTTGATTGTGCAATTTTTAGCTTTTCAATTATTTCCTTTCTGAAGATGTAAATATATAAACAAAAATTTGTTTTTACACATGAGAGAAACTCGAATATTAAAATATCTCAGAATAAGACATAGTAGAAAAGTTAAAATTTGCCCAATGATCTAATCTCATTGAGAATTTAGTCGAAAATCGATTTTTCACGTGACCTTGGAGGTGGAGGTAACCCAGTAAAATGTCGTCATCTCAAGAACGAAGTTCCGAAAAAACCAAATCATTCTAGACTTTTCTATTACTCACTAGTACTCATTCAATAAACATCATCTCCATTGAAAAATGATTTGATAACTGAAGAAATTTTCTTCATTACTCTTAATATAATTAAAATTTTGATTCAATTTACTTCTCTATTAAATTCATTTGATTATGTTACTACTGAACATATTCTTAGAATAGAATTTTCATATTGTAGTCTTCAACAACTCGTCGAAATGTTTCTACTTCTTCAAAACATCATACATCAATACCAATATCAAAACCTATTGAAACATCTCCATCAACACCTACACCTACACCACCACCACAACCATCAGGTCGTATTCAAATTCAACGTTCATCATCATCGTCATCATCATCAGATGATTCAAATGGTAGTGATGAAATAGTAACCAAGCGTACTAGACAACGACGTAAAAAACCAACTGGTTCAAATGAACGTTCAAATATTTTAAAACAAATGAAACGTAAAACACAAGAAAGAAAAAATTCACTTACAACAACAACAGCAGCAACTACGACTACAACTACTACTATTACTGATAATAATAATAATACTAGTCATAATGATAGTGGAAATAGTTTAAATGGTACAAAAAAATGTTCATTTCAGTTTAGTGATGATGATGATGATGATGATACAAATACTAATGATGATCAAAATCATAAAACAACAACTAATAATTATGATATTGATGATGGTGATACAACTGAAAGTTATGAAGTTGAAAATGATAATGAAGATAATCATCATAATAAAAATGGTAATATTAAAAATGAATATGAATATAATGAAGATGAAGAAGAAAATAGTTCTCCCACAAAACACAAAACTGGTCATAGTGGCAGAAAAAATATTCGAAAAATTATTGATGATAAAGAATTAGATATTCAAACAAAACAAGCTGTTGAAATTGAATTAGAACGTCGAAATCGTATAGCAGAAAAACAAAAAGAATATAATTCTAATTTACTTGAACAATCATCATATTTAATAAATAAAGAAAATGAACAAGTAAATAATTCAAATCATCGTTTAATTCTTGAATTAGATAAAACAACAAATGAACCATTAATTGAAGTTTCACCAAAATTAGTTCTACAATTAAAACCACATCAATGTGATGGCATAAGATTTTTATGGAATAATGTATTTGAGTCTATTGATGCAATTGAAAATAAAAAACAAGGAAGTGGTTGTATATTAGCACATTGTATGGGTCTAGGAAAAACTTTACAAGTTATTAGTTTTATTCATACAATGTTTAATTATGATAAAATAACCAATGTTCGAACATGTCTTGTTCTTTGTCCAATTAATGCTGGTAATATATTATTAATATAAAGGACTCTGTCGGATTAAATGATCTATTCAGAATTGAGAAAATAAATACATTATGTTGTAGAACAAGTCGAGATGTATCGAATGGTATATATTGTACTTCTTGGTATTAGTCGAAATTATTTGTAAAAAGATTTGTTTGATATGCAGCTTTACAGAACTCTTCACAAAACTGTATATTAGAAATTTTTTTTTTACAAATAATCTCGACTGATAACAAAAAGCACAATGATTAGTAATTTATCATAATTTCAGTATATTATCGTCAATCAGTAAATTGACTCTAGTTCTTATGAAAATAAGATTTAATGTATATCATTCGACGCACTTCGTGTTACTTTACAATATGGTATATTTGCTTTCTCAATTTTGAATATATCACCAAATCCGATATGGTCTCTTGTTTAAAGAATATAGGAAAATTTGTATGTTTTATTTTCTTAGCTCTAAATTGGTCAAATGAATTTGAATATTGGTTAAATGATGTTGAACCACCTGTTGATAATTATCAATTAACAACAATAAAACCAAATTTACGTGTTACGCATTTAAATTATTGGTATGAACATGGTGGTGTTATGATTATGGGTTATGAAATGTATAGAAGATTAGCTAATGGTTTTGGTTTAAAAAATAAAAAAGTTAAAGCACAAGCATATAAATGTCTTGTCGATCCAGGACCTGACATTATTGGTAATTTAATTATTTAATTTTGTTTTTCAATAGTTTAATGCTCAGAAAATATTTTAAAAATTCAGTAGTATCTACTGTTGGTTTTCATTTATTATCTGAATAAAAATTAGATACTCTGAGTAGAGCATTAAGGTGGAAGTGAAAAGTTTAGAAACGAAGTAATTTTGACTTTTTTCCTTAAATGTAGAAGCTGGAATAAATCTGAGAACAGATTTAATTAGCTAAAACTGTGCCCTCTCCGAAGAGATGCTTATCAATTTTTTTATTAGTACGTTTGGATGAAAGATCTCGGCAAAGACAAGACTCTTAAAATCAGTTTTCTGCATTTCTATCAAAAACGCTTTGCAAACAAGTTCATCTGCTGGAGAAAAAGATTTTTTGAACAAAAAAAGATGCACCCAAGTTCTTCACAATCGTTTTAAGATAGGACTAAAATGCTATTTTGTGTTGTTTTTGTGAAAATTTATATAAATTCACTATGTTTTATATTTTGGGGATCTTTCATACAATGATTGTTGTTTGCTGAAGATAAATTGTGGATATATTATTTAATTCAGAAATTTTTTTCTCTATTAGATGAATTTGTTTTAAAATGTTTTTGATAGAATCCAGAAAACTGATTTTGAGAGCTCTGATTTTCCATAGATCTTTCAACCGAGCGTGCTAATGGAACTTTGACAGTTCTTTCTCCTAATAAGAAATTGTTTCGGTTACTGAAGTCTTCTTTTTTTGCTTTGTTCTAGCTATAAGTTTTTAAAGAAAAAAGTACTGTAGTTCTTAGCTTTTTACCTTCACTTCAGATAGATATGGTTTTATATTCGAATACTTCAATAAATAGGACAATTGATGGTTTTTATCTTGTTTAAAAAATTATTGATTAGACGATTCGATATTAGGTTTGAAATTTTATGCTTGATTAAAAGTAAATATTCGGATGTTATAAAATAGTATAATCTCTGATAGAATAGCATCTAAATATTGCTTCCTGATGAATAAATACATCTTGAAATATAATCAATAGGCTTTGTATTAATCTTTAAAAAAATCGAATTTTCACATCTATTCAAATAGATAAGATTAGCCATCAGTCATTATTACAGATGTGTTCGGAGCCAACTTTAGTTTTGGGACAGCATCACAGAAAAGAGAAGTTGTTCTTGCACAAAATCTATTTCTTAATTTCTATAGAAATCTGTAGGAAACAAATTAAATCATTAAAAATTATTATCGACATGATGAAGGAACTTCTTTACTATACAGAACTATTCAATATAATCGATTTTCCCCCTATTATATAAATAAGACCGATCTTATAAAACCTATTAATTCTATTGAAAAAACTTAATTTAATATCTTGTTTAGTTGCTGATGAAGGTCATATTTTAAAAAATGCTCAAACAGCTCTTGCTAAATGTTTATCGAAAATAAAAACATCTCGTCGTATTGTTTTAACTGGTACACCATTACAAAATAATCTCATTGAATAGTAAGTATTTAACGCAACATTGTTTATGTTTTAAATTTGTTTTATTTTTCTTTTTAGTTATTGTATGGTATCATTTATCAAACCAAATTTACTTGGTAGTCAACAAGAATATATAAATCGTTTTGTTAATCCAATACAAAATGGTCAACATCGAGATTCAAATGAAGAAGATGTTTGTTTAATGAAACGACGCGCATGTGTTTTACATGAATTATTAACAGGTTTTATTGATCGAAAAGATTATTCATTATTAAAACATTATTTACCACCGAAATTTGAATACATAATTAATATACGATTAAGTGATTTACAAACAGCATTATATGATCTATATTTAAAACAACAAGGAAATCAACAACAACAAAATGTATCTACATCAAAAAAAGATTTTAAATCAGTCAAATTATTTGCTGATTATCAATATTTACAAAAAATTTGGACGTAAGAAAAACTATAAAATGGGTTTTTTTTTTTCTCTTCAAATATTTTTATTGATATTGTTTATTGTTGTTTTGTTTTAGACATCCATTTTTACTTTATCCACATTTTATTGATCATTGGAAAAAACGATTAAATAAAGATGAAGATAATTTTCTTGACGATAGTGAATTTGAAGTTATGTTTACTGATGAAGATGAAGAAATGGAAGAAAAGAAAAAAACCAAAAAGAAAACTAACAAAAAGAAAAAAGAAAAAGAACAAAAAGTAAATAGAATTTAATTCTAATATTTTCTAACTATCTAACGACATGATCAATAAAAATTAAAAATCTACAATTCTCAATATTAATCTATTTTAAGCCGACATCTTTCATGACTCTCGATAGTATCGCTTTGTCGCAAAGAATCGTGACTAGTGATGTACAAAACTAACTTTAGCCTTGGCCACTGATGCTACGCGAAATAAATAAATTAGTGAGACCAAAACTACAAGAAAATACGTTGTTCCAATCAGTACATCATTCAAGGAAGATGACCCAAAAAGAAATACTAATCATTGACTAGATAAATCAAAAACCGAATAAATTCCGACATAAACTTCTTTATATCGCAATCGGTGTTCGATTAGTTTTTACTAAAATCATAACCGAGACCAAAAAACTAGCTTCCGTACATCTCTAATCATGACCGACATATGATAAATTTATATATATACTTAGGCTCATTCAAAACGAGTTTAAATTCACAAAAAATCATTTTTTATTGAATACAAAAAAAAATATTTCTAAATTTATTTCTACTAATTTTAATATTTCTAGCCGGACTCCAAGAAAAATTTTAGTGGTTTCTTAATTGATAATGTTGGTGATGAAGATGAAGGTGTTGAACCATCAACAAATGATGATGAAGATTCTAAATCACAAAAACGTACTATTTCAAAATCATCGGATGGTTCTTCAGTAACAACAGTTGAATCAGATTCATATCAAGAAGATAATGATGATGATGATGGTGGTGAGGCAAGTGAAGGATTAGAATCAGATTCAAAATCAAAATCAAAATTAACTGATAACAATAATGATGATGATAATAATAATAATGAAAAAGTTGAAATCGTTAAAAGTTATCGAACACGAAGTCGAACGGCAGCAAAAAATAAAGAAAAACAAAATTCATCAAAAACGTTCAATGGAAAAAATATGAATGCTGATGTTTTTGATACTGGTAATGATGATAATACACCTTTAAATGAATCAACTGATGATGATCAGCAAGATAATTCAGATCAACCATGGTTAAATGATATGCGTGAACAATTTTGGTTTCCATTCTTAGATATTTTACCAGATGAAAGTGAATTTGATATAAATTTAAGTGGAAAATTATTTTTACTTAAATCAATTCTTGATAAATGTGCTGAAATTGGTGATAAAATTCTTCTTTTTTCACGTAGTTTATATACATTAAATTATATTGAAAGATTTTTACATCGTTTACAAATACAAAATGAAGAAGAATATAGAAAACAATGTGAATCAAGAAGACAATTACGTCAAATGCTTTCATCAAATGGTACAAATAATAATGATTTATGTGATTATATACCACAACCAATAGAATGGATACGTGATCAAGATTATTTTCGAATGGATGGTCAAACAGATGTAATAGCAAGAAAACGTTATGCTAAATCATTTAATGATGATACTAATTTACGTGCACGATTATTTCTTATATCAACATTAGCTGGTGGAATTGGAATTAATTTAGTTGGTAGTAACAGAGTTATTGTTTTTGATGCAAGTTGGAATCCAAGGTAAATAAAAAAAACAAAACGAGACTTTTCTAGTTGCTTTTTTAGATAATACAAAAGTTATGTTAAAATTAAAAATAACTTTATTTGAGAATTAGAGCAAGTCGGATAAAAAGTTTTTGGACATAACAAGGTCTATTGAAAACAGTGTAGAAGAGAAATAAATGAATCAGTTTGCGGAAGAAGAAAAGTTTGTATTTTTAAGTGAGAAAAGAAAGATTTAATACAGATTGTTAGAAAGATCTTTCTACTTTAACAAGTCATTCATCGGATCCTTCAAAGGACTGTTTGTGTATTCTATGTTACGCAATTATTTCTTCTCCGTTCGTCTACTAGAAGTCATTTACATAGGTATATTTAACTGAATTAGATAGAATCAAAGTTAACAGTATTAGCTATTGACTAAAGTCTCTACTGCTAAACATTGATTAAAATCAGAAGAAACCAAAGCGAGTTATATCAGTAAATAGGTATGTGACAAGTCCGATTTTATTCTTTCCAATATAGCCCATTTTAGCTCTTGTATGCAACTAAGCTTACGCGACCTAAAATGAAGGTCTCACAGACAAATAATATAGGATAAACGAAATGTTTAATAATTCAACTCCCATAAAAAGAACTGATCATTATACCCACTTATATAGAAAATAGCCAATCATCAAGCTGAAAGTTCTAAAAATCTATTTAATGTTTATCTATGCCAGATGAACCTTTCACAACATATGGAGTTCATGAACTAAATTTAATCTTAGTGTTTAATTCTAAAATAAATGATAAACATTCTTCGTAATCATTCAATGCGAATAATGTCATATCTTTCGAAAAATAATTTTTTTTTTCTTAGTCATGATACTCAAGCAATATTTCGATCATATCGTTTTGGTCAAAAGAAACCTGTTTATATCTATCGATTTTTGGCACAAGGTACAATGGAAGAAAAAATTTATCAACGACAAGTTGTTAAACAATCATTATCTCAACGGTAAAAAATTACAGACAAAAAAAACAAACAACTTTAAATTAAAAAACTAAATAATTTTTATCTTCTAGTGTTATTGATGATCATCAATTAGATCGTCATTTTACTGAAAATGATATAAAAGAATTATATAAATTTACACCTGAACAATTACCTGAATTGCGTTCAATGACAAATACAGATTTTAATTATCCTATACCAAAAGATCATTTATTACTTGATCTATTATATGAACATAATCATTGGATACATTCATATCATTCACATGATTCATTATTAGAAAATAAACTTGATGAAGGTCTTAGTGAAGAAGAACGACGTCGAGGTAAACTAAAGCATTATTTCGTATCTTTTTCTTAATAATTTTTTTTTTTAAATATTTTAGCTCTTGAAGAATATGAGAATTTAAAACGTTTTCCTGATCAACGTCAATTAGCTGCACAACGTTTACAACAACAACAACAATTAGCTTCAACAGCTATGGTTCAAATTCCACATCTTCAACAAATGTATTTAGATTTTTTTCGATCTATGTCATCAGAAGATCAACGAACTATTGATTATTCAAAAATCATTCAGTATGCATTTGAACTTGGCCTTAGTCAACAATTATCTGATATACAAAATCCAAGTATGATTCGAAAAATTCTAAATTTAACGAATTCTTGTGTTTGTTTTTGTTTTATTTAATTTATTTCAGCTACGTCAGATTCAAATCAGATTCAACAAACTACTACAGATACGAATGATGTTGTTCTTTTAGAAAGTGATGATGACACAACTGCTAAAGCGGAGTAAATAATATATAAGAAATTTAGTTATTAGAAACAAAAAAAAAACAAACATTTGTCGAATAGTGCATATAGTTTACATTTAAATTCTTTTTTTTTTTTTGTTAATCTTTTTCCTGTATATGTTTACAATAAAACAATTGTCTTTCGATGATTGACTTTTTCTTTTTTTGTTACATAGTCTCTTGGTTTGATAACTTTTTTTTTTTTCTTTTGATATGACATGTTTGAAAAAAAAATTGAAAATAACAATAAAATTTGAACGTAAATCTTAGTAGACAAAGCGAAATTTTTTTTTATATGTTAAATAATGAATATATTTCATTGAAGCTATGTTTTCAAGTCAAATGAAGTATATATAAAAATGCATGAGATATAGAAATTTTTTTTGCTGTTGGTTTCCATACACTACATTCAATGAAAAGAAGAGGTTGATGATGATATCTATGTGATTGTATGTTTTGGAACAAGAGAATATGATGATAAAGAGCGTGTGCTTTTGTTGTAAAAAAAAATTAATTTCAGCTATTCATAAGGGAAGTTTTTTAACTGATAAATCGCTTTTGAGACAAGATTATGTGCATTGCGTAGATCAAAATGAACTATAGATACTCTGAAAATAGTTCGTGCTCTTAGCTGGTGTTGACGGAAATACTTTAAAACAAATACCATGATAACAGAAAAACTGATTTTAGAATTCTGACTTGAAACTTTGCATAGAGACACATCCTAACGAGAACAACTTCTTATAAATGGTTTATTCCTTGTTGTTGCTATTCTACTATACAATTATGATGATAATGTATCTTTTACATCGCTCATAAAAACACTGGCAAATTTGATGTTCTTATTTCATGATAAAAGCAAATAAAAAAAGATCTGAAACTTTTACAATAAACTATTCTTGTTGAGGCCTTTCTCGATAGAAAGTTTCAAGTTGATATTCAGAAAATCAATTTTTCTGTTATCACGGTATTTATTTCAAACTATCTCCGCCACAATAAGATAAGGACTCGAACTCTCTTTTCATAGTATTCATAGTTTATTGGGGCCTAGATAGTGTATATAGTATTGAATCAAAAACGATTAATCAATTGGAGCACTTTCCTTATTAGCCATTTTATTCTTTTGAAAAAGAAAATTAATCTAAACTTTCAGTTCAGATTATTTTTATCGACATAATGGCATTGAAATAAATTTGAATCCTCTTTTTTTATTTTAAGGATCGAATCAATGGAAAAAATTATACTTTTTTACCAAAGAAAGATACGTACATGTCTTAATAGTTATACGAAAATCACTTGGCCAATTTTTTAAACTGTTTTTCTTCATTGAATATTTCGAAGGAATCAGATGATTTTGTCGTAGTGAAAACAGTTCATTAGATTTACGAATGTTTTGAAACATTCAGACTCCTTTGAAGATATTCAAAGCTGGCATTTTAGATGAAATTTAAGAAGTATCTATGATATGAGAATCTTGACATCGATTAAACGCAAAAAGAATTTCAATATACATCACGAATAAATTCAACTTGTATTTGTTTTTCGATAGCCATTTCATTTCCGTACTAAAGTCCGACCATTTTTTTTCCTGCTGATCTCGTATAAAATGTATATAAACATGAAGCTGATGACTGGTTAGTTACAGTACTGAAACGCATTCGTTTTGCATTTTCTATGCGATTTTATGATTTCCAAATGCTTATATACTTCGTTGTTGATATTAATAGCCTTTTTTTACGAATAAGACAAGGATAAACAACGTAATTCTGTATCATTTTTCTTGACATGATTTACGTTTTATGCGAAATGACACGAGCGCTGTTTTATTTTTCTATAATATTGATTTACTTTATTCAATTTATAAAAACTGAAGTACAATAAGAACATAAAAAGAAGTCTAACTAAATACGGGTCAGCATAGGAGGAAGCAAAAGAAAAGAGATAAAACTAACATAGATTTTTTTTAAAGAACAAAGAGAATAAGAATAAAAAGAAATCTTCTAGCCAACCAAACGGTCTCTCTTTTTTTATGTATTGTTTAAAAAGTTTTTTGTCTGTGACATTTAGCTAAAAATAACTGAATAATTATAGTTTTTAAACAAAAATATTATAATTTCTAAATTTAAAATTTCTTAATCAATATGATCATACATATTAATCATTCTCGTGTAAGACATATTTTGGTTTTTATTTTTTTTCTTATTTCAAATAAAATCGAATACATGTGTTTCAAATAATTCAATATCTACAACATTCGATATTACACCAATGATTTTATCGAAAACAATTGCATTAAGAACTTGATGTCGATTACAAACACTTTATTGTAAGTTTGTTTTTTTTAACTACAAAGACTCTCTCTGGGTTTGGTGAACTATTCTGAATCAGGATGCCATATATATATACGAATTTCTAGAGCACATTGTGGTGCATCAGCTGATACATAAGAAATGAAGCTTCATGAAAACTCTGGTGCACTAAGACTTGATACATTGGTTACATTGCTTCAAGGATATTGTTACGTATTCATAGACATTATGCTCCTGAAGCTGTTCGAAGATAAGTTTATGCAAATTTTGTTTTTAAACTAAATTCGATACAGGTATAAGTGCTCGTCAATTTCCTATGATCAATAATTTTTTATTGTTGCTTTCTTCATACCTACCAATGGTTCCATTTCCTAGTTCTAGGTTATTCCTTGATTGCTTGATATTCAAGTGTATTACACTCAGATTCTATATATATGGATGAGGCCAGTCAACTTGATATCCCTAGTATATTTGTTTATGTAGCTTCAACTAATTATCATAAAAATGTGGTGTTTTTTACCATTTATAGTACATATATAATTCTAATGATTACTATCCATTTCAAAATAGAAGATGCGTTAGTGTAAGTTGAATAACTCGAGAACGGAATCGGCTATCGAGATCGGATTTTCATCGTTATATATCCAAGACTTGAGCATGTAACAATATATGAAAAAAGAAATTTTCAGCTTCGTCTGAGACGGCTGTCAGACAAATCTTTGCAAAGTAGGCGTGCCAAAGATAGATGACACGATAAGTTTCTGGTTTGAACGATTGCATTTGATGCGCAAAAGTCTTCTCTACAATTCTACGTAAACTATCGATCCCTAGGACGTTTCGTTCGAATACTGCAGCTCCTGTAGCGAAACCTGTGAAAAACCAGGTTTTTAGCCTGGAAAGCACGCTTTTCTACTCGATAAATATTCCCAAGTGATGGCTTCACAGGTTTTCGACCTCGCTGATCATCGTGCCCATATTTTTTGCTATACCAGTCATTTTATTTTTCTCCATTGTTGGAGTTGGCTTCATTTTGGGCAGTTTTGTCCTTTTTTGGCCTTGAATTACGGTTCAAACAAGATTTCCAGTACGTTGTAAGTGAAATCGGATCGTCTCATTCATTCATGTGCAAATTAAATGCCTCGCTAATTGGTGCATAGCACATCTGTTTCTTCCTTATATTATCTACACATTATGTAAGAGCAATTATTCTGTTTATGGAACATTCAATCGTTTGTTATGCCAAAAGGAGAAGACTACTCAATAAAAGAGAAACAGATATTCTTTCATGTGATCGACTTCGTCGAAAAAGAGAAAGTTGGTCCAATCATCTCGCTTCATAACACCACTGCTCGTCTGCTTGCAATGCTGGGTATAAGCGAGAATTCATTATTCAAATTGAAGAAGGAGATCATCGATCAGCGTCAAAAGGAACAGGACGAACAAGAAAAACAACAAACTGATACGTTCTCGTTGCCAAACAAGCTTCAGCACCGAATCAGTTCGCATCGATCGCAAACGTCGCTGGTCGACCGTCTCCTGCAACTCGCCATCTGTTGTTCCGACTCCAATGCCATCCAACAAGAAGAGTAACTCTGGACGACCGATAATATGCTTGAACGAATTAGGCGACGATACGATGCGGTATCATTTTCATCTTCTTCTAGTGAGTAGCCAAACTCTTATTTGTTATCAACAATTAATTTCACTTTTTCTAGACGGAGAAAATATATCCCACAGTCGCGAAGGTGCGCAGTCATATTCACGACGAGCATACTGATTATCCCATACAATCGGCAACGACTTTGTGGCGTCATGTGAAACGGCTCGAATTCTGCTACAAACAAACAAGCAAGGTGATCACGCCACTCGATTCCATATCGTTTGTCGCTCAATGCGCTGTCTATTTCCGCTATCTTGGTGATTTGCGAGCCAATCAGGCCTTTATTTATTATCACGACGAGATGTGGTGTAATCTAGATGAGGAGAAACGTTTGGTATGACTCAACGACAAAGGTGAAGGACGTTTGAAGAAGTCCGACGGAAAGGGTCAACGATTGACCATCTCAGCCACGATCAATGAAACCCCCTTCCACAAGGAGTCTGTCGACATCTTTGTCTATGATGAAGACCATTCTATGAACTCGGCCCATTTCATTGACTGGATCGAGAAAGCCGCCTCTTCTCTTTGTCTTCTTCACGACCCTTCTACTCGTATCGCGGTCATCATCAACAACGCCACGTGGCATAATGAACTCATCGACAAAGCCAGGCCACCAAAGTGTTTATGGTGTAAGGACCAGCTTCAGCAATGGCTCGAAGAGCATAGAATAAAATATGACGCCAAATTAAAGAAAGCTGAGTTATTGGAAATCGCATTTTCTCACGTCCCTCCAAAGCGCTGTAAGACTAACGCCGTGGCCAACACAGATGACGAAGAAAATGCAGGCATTTGAATCCATAGTGCTACAATTTTTTTTGTAAATGAAGAGAGTACTTAGGTTTCTTTACAATGTCACACTTTATTTTAAGCGCCGATAATCGCACGCAAAGGTCACAAACTAACATAACCCATTTGAAATGATAAGTCGAGTCAAATTCAAGGCAGAGTAAGGACAAAACTGCCCAAAATGAAGCCAACTCTAACAATGGAGAAAACTAAAATGACTAGTATAGCAAAAAATACGGCCATGATGATCAGCGAGGTCAAAAACCTATGAAGCCATCACTTGGGAATATTTTTCGAATAGAAAAGCGTGCTTTCCAGGCTAAAAATCTGGTTTTTCACAGGTTTCGCTACAGGAGCTGGAGTATTCGAACGAAACGTCCTAGGGATCGGTAGTTTACGTAGAATTGTAGAGAAGAGTTTTGCGCATCAAATGCAATCGTTTAAACCAGAAACTTATTGTGTCTTATATCTTTGGCACGCCTGCTTTGCAAAGATTTGCCTGACAGCCGCCTCAGACGAAGCTGAAAATTTCTTTTTTCATATATCGTTACGTGCCCCAGTCTTGGATACACAATGGCGAAAATCGACCTCGATAGCTGATTCCTTCTCCAGTTATTCAACTTACACTAATTCATCTTCTATTTTGAAATGGATAGTAGTGAATATGATTAGAGCTTTAATTAGAAACGTAAACTTTACTTCTAGAGTCTTATCAATAATATTCACCTATTTTATCTCCTTTGTGGTAACTGCTGCAAGACAGACATGCGTTTGCAATCAGCATTCAAGATTGAGTTAATTCCAGGAGTATAGTAGCGTTAATGCTAGTTAAGATATGGGTTCAGATCTCACAAATCGATTTTGTCGCCTGGCTGCCCACTGTGCTCCGAATGAGTGGGTGTGGGTGCGTGGTTTTGAATGCAGATGTTTCTCTGTTACCCACATTCACACCCATCTACTCATACTCACACCCACCTATGATACGCAATATACAACATATTGTTAACAGATGGAACCAACCAGTGAAAAATGCCCAAAATCATCATCACACTGCAAATTACCCACCAAACTTCAGTTGCACGCAAGAAATGATCATCGTAAGTAGCTTGGAATCCATTTTCTAAACATATTCTACTTTTGTGTAGAGTTTTCTCTGCCACAATAAACAATCTATTGTTGAACATCATGAATAGATTACTAACTCTTATGTTCTTAACTCTCGACATTTAAAAAACAATAGGACAGTTGGAGGTTCTTATTTTTGGATTTTCATGAACTATTGATGCGAATTGATATCAGATTAGGATCGATATGCAGTGTATATTAAAATTCCGAATTTATCTGATGATGATCCTTGAGCAAGATCAAAATGATCATCGTAAGTAGCTTGGAGGGTGTGGAGTGTGAATGCGAAATTTCTTCTCACCTATATCCACAATTACAACCAGCTTACCGCTATCATTAAATAAGTTCCTACTATTTTCCACATTTGTAGTTTAACTTAAATATTACATTATTTTTTTTTGTTTCTGATATATAAAAGAAAGTCTTTGAGACTAGATAGTTTCCTCGTAAATCTTCATTACTTCATAATTGAGTTCAGTCGACATTTAAAATTAAGATTTAGTAGTGCTTGTGATCGAGTTTCTTGAATAGCTACATTTAATATTCGAAGTATTTAAACTTATACAGAAACTATTTTTTTTCCAAAAAATGATAAAAGCCTTTTTTTGACATTCACTTCATCATATCTTGGGAAGGAAGAGTCATGGGCACGAATTTTTTCACAGATTTCCTAGTTTCACTGAAACCTGCCTATAGCCAATATATGAATTCAAAAGCTCTCAAATAGTTGGGGTACCTCTCGAGTTAGTCTAAAAAGTGAAAAAAAGACAATTGATCCAACAATTGATTTTCATATCTCTATTTATAATATATCGAAAGAATCTTTTGAAGTTATAATTCTTTCTTTTTCATCAGATTAAACTTAGAAAACATAAAAGCTCTGTAATACATAAACTAAGATAAATAAAAAATCATTGCTATTTACTAATCTTATACTAAAATTATTTGGTTCATTGTCTAAATATTTCAAACAACAACTATAATCCGATATTGACAATATTGTTTCATTTATAAAATTTCGATATATAGTTCGATTGTATAATGGTTGTGGACCACGATAATCTTCAAAAAAAATATTTTTTCGAAAACTATTCAACTCATTTTCAGTAAATATAATAGGAATTTTAAATACAGTCCAAATAATGTCCTCCGTACATGGAGGTGTTGTTAATGAACCTTTATATCTCCAAAAATCATTTAAATTAGTACCCATTAATATTGCTAAATTTAAGTTAAGTACAATTGATATATTTGCATGTTGTAATGTTCTAGCTATTGAAAAATATCTTTCCCATTCGTTTAATGTATTATTTTCAATGGGATAACTATCGTTTGTATTCATTCGATGAGAAGATATTGATTCATTCATATGAATACTTCGACTACTTTTCATAAACATTGCTAGAACAGCTAATTGATGCGTTCGAGGATTTATATAAACAAAATGAATTTCACCAGCATATTTTTCACCATTTCTAAACAAAGAAAAAAATATATTGTTTACCTGATCGCCGAACATCATTTGATCTTCTATGTGCTCATGAGTTTCATTTCGGCGATTCTGATTTACATTCACTATTTCTGAATATTTATCACGTATATATGCTGCAAATATCTTCTCAGAATATCGCTGATAATGGACATTGCCAATAGTCGCATCGCCGTAATACAAATTACCGAATTTCAGTGAAAAGCAAAGTAATCACAAAAAAAAGAACAGAATCATTGAGAAATATGGACTCACACTTGATGTTCACTACCAGATTTATAATTTTCACCCCAATGAAGATGAAAATTTAAAAATTCAAATGTTCCATTCAAACCACCACCAGTTAATATTAAAGATGGAAGAGCATTTTCTGTATATCTAGCAAGTATAGAATAACCATTATTTATCAATGTAAAATTATGTGAAACATTATGATCTTCTGCAAAATGAAAAGGTACAAATGATTGATAAACTGTACATGTTGTTCTAATATTAATTGGTGATTGAGAATATCCAGCACATAATGGATATTCATCACTCCAAACATCAGGTCCAAAATCACCATAATTCCATAGAGCAAGAATTGATAGAGGAAAGATAAACAAGTATAATGAAATAAAAAGTTGAACATGCATTATAAAAGAAAAAAATGTACTATTTGATTTTTCTTAGATTGAAGTTTTGTTGTTTTTGAAAAATTTTACTAGTAATCAAACATGTATAAAATCCAATCAGTGAATTTACTTTTTATACATGTATAATGTTTGTTGAATATTGAATTTAATTGCATATGAAGAAAAACGAAATGATGTGTGTTCTTTTTAAGTATTGAAAGTATTCTGATAAATAAGACTATTGCATTTGTCAATAGAAAAAAAAGTAACAACTAATAAGTCTCGTTGATTCTTCAATTCTTTTTCGGTTCTCTTCTGTTATTTCTTTATTTTTGAATCAAAGTACATTGTTCAATGATAATTAAATGTAAATTTTCTTTTTATTATTTGTGAAGATCTTCGAAATATTGAAAGACTCGAATATTGGTTGAACTGAATGACACTTTTTTTAAAAATGTACTTCTATCATATAATAATATTACTAATACATCAAACATAGATGACATTGAATAACAATTTATTTTTTATTTTTCAAATAAATATAAATGACTCATGAATAAATATAACACGATCATTTATTTTTTAACGATAAATATTAAGCAATCAAGAAAAAAAAAGCAAAATAAATACATATTAGTATATATTTTGCACAATTATCTATGTTATGACATTTAATATGATTTTAAAATGATTAGAGCATGTCTTAAATTAAATCGAGCAGATAAGGATGAATATTTTTCAATTGAAATTGAATTTAGATAATTTTCTATTAACAAATTCGAGATCCTAATTGATGATCTATTAACTTAAGTTCATTATGAAATCGAAACGAACTCATTCTGACATGTATCTCGGAATAAGAAACTTTTCTAGAACTATATTTTACATGCTACATGGCATACTAAGTCACTCTAGATACTCTAAAAATCCAAGAGCTAGAAACTCTTGTTCAGAGAACTTATCAGTAAAAAAAACTCTACGTTAGTGACATGACACAAAAAAGAGCATTGACTTTAACTTCTTGCATTTTATTCTAATAAAAATTTCAAATTGAAGCAGTATTTTTGAAAAAAAAATAATATATTCTGCAAGCAACTTTTAAGGCTACAAAATCTCTATCCAAAATTTTTTCTATGCATGCCTCAATTTCTCAACAGATTGTTTCTCATGCCATTAGAGAGACATTCGTTAATTACTTATGAATTAATAGTTAGTTAGTCAATATTTTTACATATGTCTATGCTAAAAGAACTTATTCAGAAAAATAATCTTTGTAAAGAATCAAATTCAAATGAAAGATGAATATGTTTCATTTAGCCTCTGATATTGTTCATATATTATCATGTGGAATATAATTTATGGTCAGAAAATAAAATAATTATATAATCAGTCAATTTAATAATTCGTTAGTAAAATAGTTAAACCTTCAGTTATTAATTAATCAGGTTTTTAAATAGATTTAAAAATCAGTAAATACAATTTATTAACCATTGATTATATTAAAGCAGTAGTAAAAAAATTGCAACGGTTATAGAATGAATCACTTTTGTTTTTTTTATCTTTTCTCTTCAGTCGTTCTGCATATTTTCTCTTTTTTTATTCACCTTCATATTTTATGAATAAGAAGAATCATTGTATTAATTCTTCTTATTCTTCAACATTTAAGACAAAGGAAAAAACAAGGGGGAAACTACGAGTTTTGAGTTTGTGATTTAAAATGAGTTTGTGTGATTTAAAACAATGTAAATCATTCTCTCTCGTAGACAAAATGTAGAATTTATTACTATTTTTTATCTTTTGTACAACAAAATAATTGAATTCTACAGAATTTGTATCTACTGTACTCAGCCTGTTTTCTATACTGGAAATAGGTCATTGATTATCTCATCCCTGAAAAATTGAGTTCGAATAGAAAAAAAGATAGCGATATATTTGAAAATAAGTTGGCTTTATTTGTTGCGAATATTTAATATTATACCATGTTTATCTATAGATATGTTGTAACCTTTCTCCTTCTACATATATTTTAACCAAATAAATTCACTGGAAGTGTATAACTATTAGCATGGATGAACTCAAGCATAGTGAATAATGTAACAGCGCAATTCTATCTGACAAAGAAATAAAATATATGTTATAGCCAAGAGCAAGACGAGCGGTTGAGAAGGGGTTTCCTCCTACTTTGAGAAGTTTTGGTTACAATTTTTTTCCAATTTGGGATAATTTAACTCTTATGTTTCCCCAATTTGAAAGAAATTAATCCTAACTTTCTCCAAATTTAGCACTGTTCAGTTAATATTTTTTCCAATTTGAAGACATTATGTATTGGACTACCTTTTATTTTCGTGAACAGTCTTGATTCATTGTCTTTTTTTTTAGGAAAGACATAGTAAATTCATTTTTCTGTAGTTCAGAGATTTTGACTTCACAAGTCTCTTGTTTTCATATCAACGATTGAAGTTCCTCTTTCTCGCAG